ACGTCTGATCAGAAAGGGGACAGAGCCACCTCCCCCAGGGAGCATCACCCCATTGCTGTGGGTGGCCCCGGGTGCACCCCATCCTCGCTGGATGTCCTCAGCCAGCTCGTGGTCAGCTCCTGGCTGCTCAGGGCTCTGTGGCACAGAAAATGACCCCGCCACAGCCACCACCTTCACGGAGCAGATGTGACACTCGTCTGTGTGACTCACCAATAGCAGTGCTGCTGCCAAGCCAGGATTTCACCCAAAGAGGGTAAAGAAAAATGCAGAAAAGGGTGCTTTTCCCCACCCCGCCTCTTTAAGACTCACCTTTGTGGAAGGGGAAAAGTGTGGAGGATCTTGTACACCAACGTATCTGTTCTGCAGAAAACCATTTAGTCACCAGGGTGGGGGGTGTTGAAGGTTAGATACTTGCTTCCCTTGTTTTGATAAAATGTGAACTCATATTTTAGTTATCATAAATGGCATCTCCCCCAAAGGGAAATGCATATTTCAGGTCTTTACAGATTAATAATACAGCTGAAGAGCAGCTCCCACTAGCTTTCCTTCAACTGTCCAGCTCTCAGGTTTCAGCAGCCACCTCTGCGCCGGCGGGTTCCTCTGCAAAGCGCGTGGTCCAGAAGTGCCGAGCCCAGCCCAGGTGCCGCTGTGCTCAACATCAGGCAAGTGCACGAGCTGTGCGGGATGTGGGGGAGCAGCCCGAGGGAGTTCAACACCTTCCTGCTAAATTCAGGAACTGGCTGGAGAAACAAACTGCTCTTGGGAAATTTTCACCCCAAAACTGCAACAGCTCAGGAGTTATCAAAAAGGTCTAGCAGCCCACTTCTTGGGCACATGTTAATTTTGTGATCATTTCAGCAAGATTTCCCGTTCAGAGAGTGAATTTTGATGCTTTGGGTTTTTTCTTTTTTTTCCCACCATGTTAAGGAAAACGGTTATTTCGTCAAAAATTGAGGTATAGTTGCCTGAAAAGCACTGCCCTGCCATCAAAGATGAACAGAAGCATCCATGAGAGAATGATATAAAGCCCAACACCCATGCCAAGATTTACACTGGTCTCTAAACATACATATATTTCAAAGACTCAAATCTGCCAGCGAGATGAAACATAGGCTTAATAAATGAGGCTTTTTCAGTTTCCAGGTTTCAGAAGCTTTTTGATGTGGGAATATGACATATTAGCAACTGAGCTTCTCTAAGCAAATGTAATGCCTATGTATAGAAAATGCTGAAATGTAGTCAAGATTTTATGCTGCCTGAGAAGTGCCCTTGTTGGCCTGCAAGGCCGCACACTGCTGGGAGGGCCAATATTTCACAGAGAAACGAAACTTTCTTGAAAGGTCTTTCTGAGGGAGAGAGCTGTGATCAGTGAGTACGAAAAATGATCTTAGAAAATAAAATTTCCACTTTCAAAACCCACAAGAACCCCCATGCATATTTTCCCTGCAGAATTTAGATTTATTTACTATGCTTGCTTCTAATTTGAAAATTTTTTCTCTCCTAAAATTAGCACTATAATCATAATTTGCATTATCAGCCTCTGTGATGCTTCATTTGTTCCTGCAGCCCTGGGGGCTCCCATGGACACTGGGTTATGTTGTTGTGAAGAGGAAGTTTGCACCTTGGAAAGTTGGCAATCTAAGAGACATGAGACAGAGAACCAAAGAGGAGAGAAAAATAAAATTAGCCAAAATTGGAGAAAATATCTCATTCCAAGGATAGAAAATTTCCATAGTGAACCTGGGGATCCCCCGCTGAAGCCCATGGATACTCCCATGAGCAGAAGAGCATGTGTGGCCAGTTTTGGGGTGCCATTCCCCACCAATGGGCTCTGCTCTGGAGAAAGCTTGTTTATGTTTAGAAAAACCAAAGCTGAAGTTCATTACTTTGAAAATGCAAAGGAACAGTCACAGAAAACGACATCGGTTATCAGGGCACTGTCTACAGCACATAGAGATTTAAAAAGTAAAATAATGACACAGAACAGAAGAATAGCAAGTGCGTGGAGTTATCAGGGCTCATCATCTGGACGCCCAGGTAAGCAAGAGCAGAGAAAAGACTTTAACAAACAAGAAGCACGGCCAGCAAGCTCACTGCTAGGCAGAGGGACTGTTTCTTGTTGAAATATCAAACCACCCCCATTTCCTCCTCCAAAGCTTCAGACTGAGTTTTGGATGACATGGCTTTTCAAATAATCACAGCGATGCCAAGAGAAGCGGCCGTCACCTGCGCTGCCGCTACCAAGACCGATGCCTCCAGCAGCGTGGCAGGCGCCAGCCCGCGGTCTGCTGAAACACAAGTACTTGTTCCCCCAGCCCTCATGTTCCCCCCCATCCTTATTTCTGGAAGAACTAAAAAATGACGTGATAGCAAAAATCATGCAGGGCACTTTCTTAGAAAACTGGGCTTGGCCTGGGATCTGTGTAAGCGATTGAGCTGGCTGTCCCACACAGCGCCTGGGTTTGCCCAGGAGGGTGAAATGTGCTGACGGTGCAGGCAATAAATGATGCCTAATAGAGGAGAAACTGAGTGCTTGCTGCTATCAGCTCAATTTTTGAATTATCTGGGGAGCAAATGAATCACTCCAATAGCCAGTCAGAGCTGTCATAGATTTAGCTTTCACCAAAACTGAAACTTGTGTTTCAGTAAATTAACTGTGGATTCTGTACATAACCCAGCTCTTAAACACAGGTTTCAGTTTTGGTTGGGTTAATATTGCCTCAAGTACATATTAACTCGGGACTTGAATTGGTCTCAATTTCACAACCGTTTGGGGCCAGGGCTGGTTTCATTGGTGCTGGATGCACGCGAACCCGCGGGGAGGCACCCGACTGCTCCAGCCCCAGCTCCAGGGCAGAGAGAGGAGGGAGGGTAAAGACAAAAAACGGCTCTTGCTGGCAAGGCACAGGCACCTGGTTCCCTTCTTCCCACCTTATCTGATAACACATGGTCTGTGGAAATGAGCAAAACCAGGCAAATTGGCACCAAATCCCCTGAAGCAGGCATGAGGACAAGTCCACATTGGAAAGTCTCCTGTGCTGTTTTCCCACCTCCTATTTGCATAATTCCTTTAATCCCGGCTGGCCTGGCAGAGGTGCATCCCTTCCTGCCCTGGAGCTGCACAACCATCCCCCCTGGCTCATGCAAAAAGGTGGGCTAAAAAAAAAAAAACTGCAGCTCACCTCACGAGGAGCAACACAGAGCTCAGGCACAACAAACAGTGCCCCATGTAAACATCCTGGGGAGCAAAACCCCAGAGCAGGGGTTAGGAGGTAAAAGCTGCCCCTGTGAGCTGTACCTGTGGGGTAAAATCATGATGCTTTCCTGGAGGGATTTCTCCTTTGAGCTCTTCAGGGTGGCTTGAGGAGATGGAAGGGAAGAGCGCTGCCTCCTGTTAAATTCAGGGTGCTCTCCAGAAGGTGTGCGGGCAGAGCCACCGCAGCTCAAACACACCCCACACCGGGGCCGTGCACGGCACCGCATTTCCCACAGTTGCTGTTTCGGTCCCGGGAATGAGCAGAAGCCACCAAACCAGCCTCCAGCCTTCCCAGGACTCCGCCAGCCCCACCAGGACACAACCCCCACTCCCAAGGTCCGTACTGAGACCTGCACATCCCAAAAGCACCAAGGGGTTTGTCCCACCCCGAGCCTTGCACCGTCCTCGGCGGCAGGAGAGGCACCTCTTTCACCATCCATCACAGCCACAGTTTGCTTCTAGGTATAAATTCTTGGAAAATCATGCTACAAGGCAAGGTTAATTTTCCAAAGGTTTATCCTGTTTGCAACACCACCACACCACCCCCCCCATACAGCTCTGTCCCAAACCCGGCACATGGGGGGAGCTCCAGCTTGGCCGCGGGACATCAGCCTTCCCACTGCAGCCCGGGCAGACCCAGGCAGGCAGGGTCAGCCCTCTGCTCACCAAAACATCCTCCAATTTCAGGGGGAAATGGATGACTTGGTCGCTTGCAGCACGTTTTCCCACTGCACAAAGTGACTGGCAAAACCCCGTTTATCCATAAATATAAATCAGGAGCATTGAAAGGATTGCAGCTTTTACATTTGACTTTATATTTTCAGCAAACACTGCCAGCCTCTTCCAAATAGCGGGCAATGGACAGCCAATCTCTGATTTCCTGACAGGCAGCAGACAGATAACAGAGGAAGTTCAATTTAGATCTTTTTTTCTTCTTCTTTTTTTTTTTTCTTTATTTTTTTTAACCACTATTTTCAGCGAGAGGGGTTTTCCACCATTCAGATTCATCTCCAACTTCCTAGTTACAACCCTCAAAAGCTACATGGAAGTCAATAACCAGAAAGGGACATAAATTCCTGATCCCATTACTGAAGTGAACCTTCCTCAGACTTCCACAAGAAGATAAATCTCGGGCAAAGAAGCACAAGCGAGACCTGTGCTGAGCAGGAGGGAGCAGACAGCCCAGCTCCCACGGAGGGAAGCAGGCTGTACCCCTGGGAGCAATGCGATTTCAGTAATAGCTTTTCGATTGGTAAACCCTACTGCTTTCATAGCTCAAGATCACTTTTCCTTTGGGTCTCTGTAGTTAAGATACCTCACAGGAGAAACAGTCAGGTTACATCAGCTGCTCTCTCTCTAAAAAAATAAATAAATAAAAGAAAACTGGATGGGGATCTGAGCACACAGAAGTACAGTTATAAACAAAATACTTAAAACCCTCTGAAGCATCTGAAAAGCATATCTGATGGATCATTTTTTAATCAAAAAACTCTGCTTATGTAGGTGAGATCAAGCTAAGATTACTCTTCCTCCCCCTACTCATGGAACAGCTGGATGTGCACCCTGTGCTGAGGCTGTTAGCTAGAAATTCATCAACTTAAAACAAACAAACTGAACAGGAAAAAACAAAACAAAAACAAACCAACAACAACAAAAAAAAACCCAAACCAAAACAAAACAAAAAAACAAACAAACAAAAAAAAAAAAAAAGCCACACCAAAACCAAAAAAAAAACCCCAAACTTCTAGCAATTCTATTTTATTGCATTTTTCTCTGAAAGGGCAGCGATGTCAGCAGCAGTCTACGGGATGATTATTCTGGGAATCCACACCATGAAACTTGTTCCCTTTGCCCTGGATTCTCAGAGGGGCCTCTGAAACGTCAGATTTGAATACAGCCTGTGTGACCATCAATATTTCTTTTCTGGTTGAGTAATGCACCGGCTCAGAACCCGGGCTGCAGCCTGTGCGGCGTGGCTCGCAGGGGAGTCCCAGGGGCCGTGGTGTTCTCACACTAGTGGTTTGGGAGCAGAAACCATGACGGGGGCACACGAGAAGTCCCCCGGCAGCACCGGGGATGCTGCAGCATCCCTCGCAGCAGCGGGGATGACCCGCCGTCACGTGCGGCACCGCCGGCCGGGGCACGTGCTTATCTGTGTGTTGGGGGGTGGAAAAGAAACCCCGGGATTTCTCAACCCGCAGCATGAGCTGCTCAGCACCGGGCAAAAAAACACCCCAAAACTCCACCACGTGAGTGACCCAGCCTGATGGTTGGTTTCAGGCCAAGGGCCTGATGCTGCTGTGGAAAGTGAGTGAAGTTGCCTCCGTAATTCACCCTGACGGTCACGTTACGCTTCCAAGCAGCTGGTTCGCATTATCTGATTTCTCAAACCGTGATAACTAGTTTCTGTCTTTTGACCATTCATAACTGTAAGTAGTTTGTATTTGTACTATTGGTCAGAGTGTTGATGCTAAATCATGACAAAGACAATATTCTCCAGAAGATCCACACACCCCAGTAAAAACAAAACTAGAAAAAAGAAACCCATCAAAACAGCACTTGTGAAATGACCTGTTCAAGACAGGAATTGCTCAACACTGCCTCTGTAGGATGCTAAAAAAAAAAAAGGCAGTGAAATAGATATTTGTGCAAGTCAAAATGGACCATATATTCAGCTTTTTTTGCATACTTCTACTTCTTAACTTATGTGCAAACAAACTCATCTGAGAAAGCCTCGTTCATCCTCCCCGCTCACTTGGAGCACGCGCTCCCCACTCCCTGAAATGCCAATGCCGAGATGTCATCGGTTTCTGTAAGGAGAGAAACAGGACAGGGCTGTGAGCATTGGAAAATCCCTGCCAGCAACTTATTTCAGGAGAAAAGAAAAGAGAAGAAACGTCTTAACACCTTTGTTTGTAAGTGCTCCCTTGCGGAGAAGGAAATAGCCCCACATGGGCGAGGGCAGCATCATCCACCGGGCAGATGGTCTGACGCTGCATCAATGGGCTCGTTGGAAGACCCAGCGACAAGAAGGTATCGCAGCAGCACCAACCTCACCCTGACTCTGCACACCCCTCGCAGAGTGGCTCAAAATGGTGAAGTGCAGGAAACCTGGGGAAAAAAAGCACAGCTCGCTCTTCTAGGTTGGCAGAGGGCACCCTGAAATCCAAGGGCAGGATATTAAATAGGGATGTTATTATCTCTCTGCCTTATAGGCTGCAGCAGACTTCCAAATATTGGGAGTTTTATATATGTGATTAAAAAAGTGCAAACATTTCCCAGTTAAGTTAGTCACCAAAGCACTGAAGCTACAGATGGGAGGAAGTCTCCATTACTTGATGCTTTTAGGTGACAATTACAGCTTGGTTTAGATAAAATGGAAGTTCTGGACCTGCTAAAAACTTCTTATGTAAAGCGCTCTCTATGTCATATTAGAAGTCACATTAGAGGTCACAATAATGTCTTCTATTCATGATTAGCAACCTATTACTGGACACGTAGATGTTACAAGACAAACCAATGACATTGGTTAAATTTCCAAAGAGTAATTTGGGATTTACCTGTTGAGGTCGATATGACTCACATCGCAAATTCCGACAAGGGTGCTAGAAAGCAGGTTTCCAGAAGTGAAAAATCCGACGTCATGCCTTGCCAGCAAAAGTATTCTTAAAAAAAAAAAAAAAGCAGTCCACTTTATGCTTCACCCATCAGGAACTGTTAGTCATCAGCGATGGGGCTGCCGAGAGAGCAAGTGCCATTGCTTCAAAACTGTTCTTCACACAAGGTGAATAAAAGGCCACCAAGTCTGTGCTTCCCCTAGAGCGTCACTGCCAGCAGATCTCCCAATGTGAAGGGATGAAAAATGGGGGATTTTCAAAAAGGAGAGAAAGAAATGATGGCTACCATTATGGTAGCTTGGAAATCCAGGGGATCCTCCAACCTCTATCTAGGATAGATAGTGCAGAAAACACACAATGTTCCTTTGTCCAAAAACAATGACAGAGACCAAGAAGGCAAGAAAATGTAAAAACCTGCCCACATAAAATCTTGCCAACAGAAAAAAAGCTACACACATAGACAGCCCTTTTAATAAGAAGTGTGAGATGCCAGCCTGCTCCAGAGGACGGGACCTCTGAAGACCACCGAGCCCAGGCCCTACCTGTGCAGGGTCTGCCACGTCTAGGACAAACTTTTCCACATGCCACGCTGTGGGAAAAAAAGAATTTGCCTATATGCCTCTGGTTTACTGCAGAAACACAATTCTGCTGTCTTGATGAGTATTTCTTGTGAATGTGCAGCTCTTAGGGTTGTGGGAGGTGGGGTAAAAGTGTTTGAATGGCTTTTGAGTAATACACTTTCCTTCCTGAAACGATCTTCTTGGCAACATGAAAGCTGTTTCCTAAAGGTTTAGAAATACACCCACGTCCCCCGGACACTCTTTAGGAAAAGGTGCTTTATTCATTCATGCAACCACTTCGTAGTACTGCAGAGTCAATGCATTTCCACAGCAGTAAGCACGAGTGAGTCAGAGCGAAACTGCACCGTCAAGATCTCTGACATGGCAAAGGAAATACAGGTAAACACAGCAGAGTATCATTTGTGCGCAGGTCAGAGTTTCCTTTGTGGAATGGACACATCTGGCTTACGCTTGTACCAAAAAAAAAAAAAAAAAAAAAAAAACAAACCTGGTTCCAAAACAAGGAGGGAATTGCACAAGACTCAAAACCGCTCTGCACGCTCCGGGTGTCAAACTGAAATGACTTCATGGAGACCCACAGATTGCTCAAAGTAAAAGAAAATTGGAAAGGAGAGCTCAGCTCCTCGGCAGGAAGGAAGGAGGGCTCCCGGCACTGTGCCGCTGCTGTATCGGCTCCTGCTGACCGTGAAGGAGGTTCCCGAGGGCTCAGAGACCCTTTGCTTTGCATCCCACAAAAATACCAGCACGTCAACCTACAGCTTTGGCTGGTAGTGGGGCCCAGTTTGCAGAGAAATGCCTGGGGCTGCATCCATCACCGAAGGGAATGGGTTTAGCTCCAGCTTTGGGCCAGGGTGGGGCTGCCCACGGACTCACCCCGGGGCACCAGCTCCCGCCAGCATCACACCCACTGACCTTGCCACATCGGTTTTGATGCCCTGATGAAACTTAAACAGCTGTCCAGGTCTTGGCAGTGAAGCTCTATCTACCCGTGGCAGATTCGAGTTAATCCAAAATAAGCAAAAAAATCTCCCAGGGTGGGAACCAAGGGGGAAGCGGAGAAAGGTGGGATCCTACCAGTGGAAAGGGGTTGAGTTTAAAACCACTCAGTTTTGTCCGAGCCATCTGCTGCTGCTCGCTCGTCTCCTTTCTCGCAGGTTCTGCTGGCGGTCAAGGGGAAAAAACGCACGGCTGTGTTAGAGCTGGGGAAGAAAAATAGGTCAGTAAATATATGACACACATTGTGATTCGGATAAACTAGTGTGCCTGGAGTGATTCACCAGGAGCGGCTTCCTCATCTCCTCTGGAAGAGGCAACATCAACAACAAAAGAAAAACAAATCAGAACACAAAATCCCACATTGTCTCCGCCTCAAACCCTTCAGTTACTAATGTTTCATCCCCTTTACTCTTACTCATACACACGCACACCAAACATTCCTGGTTTGCTCCTAAAAATAAAATAAATAAATAAAAAAAAAAAACTAAATATACAGTAATAAACAATTTTTTGCATTTTTATAGCTTTTTTTTTTTTCAACAAGTTCCTTTACAGAGGTTTGCAAATTCAACTTAAAAGAAGTTCAGTGCAGTGAAGCAAATGAAAATTGAAGTGATTTGTCCAAAGTAACGTATTGGAGGCAGGCTGGGAAGAGTGCACTATATCAAAATAACACGTGATCTTTCAGAGAAAACCTGATTTCAGAAAGGCCAAATTCATCTCCACTTTCTCTTTCTTAGATAACAGATTGTCAAATTCTTCAGTGAAATCTCTATCAAAAGGAAGCAGGGGTGTGTGTACTAATATATATATATGGCAAGAGAATATGAAAGAGAGGAAATCGGAAAACAAGAGACGTCAGAGGAATTATCTTCAGCTCTGAAATGGTCATTTTATCAGAGCTGGGACAATAAGTCTCAGTTAACACAGTACACCCAGTTCATAGAATCAGCACCGGGTTGTTTGCATGGGGCTTCTGTCCATTTCTAGGAAACCAAATAGGATTAAAAAGCCAGAAACTTGAATATTCATGTCCTGCTTATACACTTTACCACCACAGAACAATGTTAAAGCAAAGGCTCCCATGGCACAAACCCCGCTCCCACCCAGCTGCCAGGGGTGAGCCACCGGGCACAAGCCCCGAGGGACCTGAGCAGCAACATCCCAGCCGGGCTGGGCTCCTCCACCCCATCCCAGCACAGCCCAGAACTAATCCCGTTAGCAGGCAGGCACACCACCAGCTGAAGTTTGGGAGCATCGCCCTTGAGCTTGCTGAAGGCGGTGAAAATTCACATTGACTTCATGTGCTAACTGAAAAAAAAAAAAAAAAAATTAAAAATTAAGATTGAAGATTATTATGTGCATTTGCAGTATAGCATTAGAATACCAAAGGAGGAGACAGTGTATTTGTACAGATTGATTAAAAGCAATGCTGCTGAATTATGCATGGTGCTGGGGATCCTAAGTGCAGGGTTGATACAGAGGTTTAAAAATAGAAACACTTTTTTTTTCCCCTAACAATAGGACATTCATCTAAAAAAAAAAAATGTAACTCTGAGAATGCAGAATTAACCTCACACAGCACCTTTTCTTCTTCACATTATATCTGAAGCTTTCCTCTTTAGCCACATTTAAATTTACAAGAAGCAAGCAATGAAAAAAAAAATGCAGAGTCTAAGCACAAAATATTTGATGGGGTGTGAGGAGAGGAGGGGGGTCAAGAGAACAGGAAACCCAAGTTGACGGGAAACCCAAGTGACATTTGGGTTTAATGAATGACTTAAAACCCCAATATTGCTCGCCAGGAAATGGGGAGAGGAAATTGAGCGATGTTTTGAGAGTATAAATTAGGGGCTCCATCAAGGTGAAGGCTACAGATCTGCTTTCTACCCTCCTGTGAAATTCAGAGGTGGGCTGGCCAGAGAGGCTCGCAGCTCGCTCGCCCAGCATGCCGCCCTGCCCAGCCCTGCTCCTGCTGCTCCTGGCCACCAGCACCCTGCCTGCCCGCAGCTCCCCCGCCCAGCCCAGCTGCCTCCACTTCTCCGAGCTCCTGCCTGCAAAGCTCAGAGAGCTGAGGATCAAGTTTGAGGAAATTAAGGATTATTTTGTAAGTATAACCCTGCTGGTCTCTTCTTCTCGTTCTGCTTTTTCTGCAAAGTTCAGTGATTTGGATGAGGAGGAAGACAGCTTCCTCCCAGCAGAAATGATTTCGTCGTATATTGTGTTACAGCTGATGGGGGTGAGCAAGACAAGTTCAGTTTCACTGCTTACTGAGAGACAACATGCAAGGGTTTTCTTCCTAGTTTGAGTTACTATGAACTCAAGAGATTTCATAATGAATCTTTGTGAACCTTACTAGCCAGAGTTCCCCTTAAGTGTTGCAGAGCAAATTATTCGCTGAATTAATATGAAGGGAATAGTTCCTTCTTCTGGGCAACAATGTACAGCCTCTCTGAAGACAATGCTAGATGAAAAGGGAAAACTTTTGCTACAGACTTTTTCTTTGACAGAACCACAAAAGCCTGCACATGGTATTTTATGACTGGAGAAACGCTACAGTAACTAGCACTTGCTTCGGTGCCCGTAAAAGGTCACTGCTTTGCAGCACAGCTAATGGGACTCTCGGGGTTGCTGAGAAAGCAGCACAAGACATCCTCAGATCATTTATCATTGCATCAGTACTGATAGAGATGGTTGGTCACATCTTCGATACTATTTTAGTTAATATCAGTGTGTTTTAGCAATAAAACAAGATAATTCTCCAGATTAAATCTCAGGATAATGCTATGGCTTCTATTTATTGTCAAACGAACACAGACAAGACTTTAGATTTAAATCTTGCTGTAAATCTCCCAGTTAACGCTGGGCAGGAATATTTGTAACCTCTCAGGGAAGCCTTGAAGTACCTTGGTGCCCTGGGGGTGATGCTTTGGGTGGTGCCAGCCCACCCCACTGCAGCTCCCTGCTCTTCCAGAGCTGACGGTGCACCAGAGGCACAAACACCCTCTGCAGATCCCTTTTCCCTGCTGACTGGAGACTTACAGAGAAAACAAAACCAGGGGAATGAAACCTCCCTGCACTGGCGAGCCCACGGGCAGGCAGGCTGGGGTGGATGTCTCGCTGCCAGGGGCTGCCATGACCTTGACACCTACCTGGAGAGCGGGGCGGTTTGCATCAGCACTCACAGAAACTCCCGCTGCAGCTCCAGCGAGCGTGCAGCGCTGGCAGCGGCAGGAGGAGCTTCACCCTAACGAGATTGCTGGTACTGAAGTTTGTGATTTCATTATCTTGCTGTCTTGACCTAACGGTAGTTGCACTGCAAGATTACGGACCAAAATGTTGGTGACTCCCGTATCTGGTGTTACTGAGCAATGCGCACGTGTGCTGGGTGCTCTTCTCCTTCGCGTCAGTGAGACCACAAGTGCAAACAAGCAAAGCGATCATTTGGTAAAGCAAAGGGAAAACCAACATTCACTGCCTGTCTGAGTAAAGCTCATGTTTCCATTGCATCCTTCTACAGCAATCAAAAGACGATGAACTTAGCATCCAGTTGCTCAGCTCTGAACTGCTGGATGAATTTAAGGTAAGAATTATAATTCTCATTTAACTCCCTTATCCTTCATCCTCCGGCCAGTGTTTTGCAAAAAAAGGAAGCAGATTGGGGCATTTCCTATTGTCAGACAAGGACAGTTCTCCAGCCAAGCAGGAACACGTGTGTCTGCGGCAGGGCTGACGCGTGGTTCCCCCCCATCGCAGCCGCAGCGAGCGGTGCTAACACCCCGCGAGCGCTCTGACCACCACCGCAATTCTGATTTTTAAAAACACCCACGCACATCGGCGCTGGTGACCAGCCCTAACGTGGTTACCTCCTCTCACCCCAGGGAAGCTTCGGGTGCCAGTCGGTGTCGGAGATGATGCAGTTCTACATGGAGGAGGTCCTGCCCAGCGCCATGAGGACCAGCACCCACCACCAGCAGAGCATGGGCGACCTGGGCAACATGCTGCTGAGCCTGAAGAAAATGATGAGGCACTGTGTGAGTGAGGCTCAGCATCGCAGGGTGGGATGAAATCAGTGCTCCGGCAAAGCAGGGCCAGTCCCAGACCAGCAGCAGGGTGGGGAGCGGGTGCTGGGTCTCCCCAGGAGCTGCAGCACAGGTGTTGGGATGGTGCAGAGGAGCAGGGCTCTGGGCAGGAAGGGGCTGGCGGACCCCATGAGGATGGGGTCTCTCCTAGCCCCTGCTCTCCCAGCTTTCATCAGTTAAATAATAATTCAGAGGCTCTGTTTGAGAGCCCCACTTATTTGCAGCCATCCCCACAAAAGGGGGTCTGGCTGAAGAGATAAGGGGAGGGAGGGCAGAGGGTCCTCCCCTTACCTGGGTGCCGGAGCAGCGTGGCTCTGCAACGCCGCCTCCCGAAACGGCTCCTGGTGCGGCCGTGACCCCATCACCCGAGTCAGACGGGACGAACGCTGCCCCAGGCAGGGAGCACCGTGGGGCCGCTCTCACCCGGGGCCAGGAAAGGGCTGGGGGTCCGGGCTTGGGTCACGCTGGGCTCCTTCCATCAGGACAGGGTGTGAAGCAGCCGCAGCTGCTGCCGCAGAGAGCCCCATGGCCGCAGATGGGGAAGGGGAAGGTGGAGAGCAGCGAGGTGGCAGTGACAAAGGGCAGGAGGAGGGGAGAGCAGCTGCCGCGCTGCCCCGGGAAGGAAACCCGTGTGGTTGAAGCCGTTGGTCTTGTCTCTTTGCAGCACAGGTTCTTCACGTGCGAGAAGAGGAGCAAAACCATAAAGCACATTAAGGAGACGTTCGATAAGGTAAGGTCCCCGCTCACGCGGCTGCGCTGACGTTGGGAGGAGCCCGCCATCCCAGGCAAGGCAGTAGATTATACTGCCAGCTTCAATTTAGTACAGAGAACAGAATCCAAAATAGTCTTTAATTATATAAATACCTAATGAGGAGAAATTCAGGGAGCGATGCTCCAAGGAGCAGCTGGCGGGTTCCCCTGAGGGGTTGAGCAGCAAAGCTGGAGATGTCAGTGGAAGGAGAATATGTCTAGCGATTGTACATCAGGTGTATCGTCACGTTCAGACTTAAACAGACTTGGCTTTCACCTGCAGATGAATGAGAACGGAATCTACAAGGCCATGGGAGAGTTTGACATTTTCATCAACTACATCGAAGAGTACTTGCTGATGAAGAAGAATTGAAAGCACCCCCCCTGGTTTGCATCTTTCGCACAAAATCCTGCTATTTTTTCAGAAATCACTTTAGGCTGCAAAAACACATGACAGATTAAGTTATCCTAGGGTTCAAGTCAAGAATTACAGGTCAATAACTTCTAGTTTAGTATTATATTTAAAAGTTATTTTTTTAAGCAACTGAATTTAATATTTATTACTTCTGTTACCTCAGTGTCTATGTTTACAATATGTTTTGAAGAAAAGTGTGATGAGCTTGTAAAATACTATTTATTGTTCAATATTTTAATACTGTTTATGATAATGCTATTTTATTCATAGCTTCAAAACACCCAAAGCAGCATTCTTCTGGGGAGCAGCTACTGAGCAGAGTTTATTCTGAGTGCAGTTTCACTGAGCACAGTCACCTGAGCGGGAGCAATCTTAGCTCTGTGTCCAGCAAAGTTTAATTTTAAGCGAGCGGTCTCCTCATGCTCTATTCCTCTATTTATTTATGCCATCAAATGTTTTTGTGTCACTGTCTCTAGTTCTGTGATTGGAATTAGACACTGAAATATTCAAAATTATTCCATGGCCTTGCACTGAGCAAAATAACCATCAATGTAACCAAAGGCTTTTTTTTTACCTGTGCATGGAAAACAACGTGGAGGAGGACCTGCACTCCCATGAACTACCTGCAATCATGCCACAGCAACAGATCAGTTAATCCCACCTCTAGACTTCAGTCTATATATTAGTCCAGATTAAAGGAAAAAATAGTAGTAGAAAGGAAATGTTTGGTTCTAATAGAACCTGATTTAAATGTTACTAATGATGGACTTCCAGAGCTGCTGGGTCAGCCACTCTGCACTTTCAAAAGTTAATCTTACTATTTTCCAGTCTTTGATTGGGTTTGACTTGCTGTTTTGTTGGGGTGTTTTTCCTTTTAGAAGTTAGAAGATATTTAATTAACCACCATTTTAAGGTGGCTTGGGTAATTTGCATTCAAATTCATAAAGCTGCATGCAGCACTGACAGTATTTGGATTATTTCCAACCCTGCGCAGGAGGAGCCGCAGCAGCCAAGTGCTGGGGGGGGGGAGGCTGCAGTGAGAGCAGCTTCGGTGCCCCTGCGAGCAGCTGCTTTTTGGGGTGTCCCCCCCGCCTTGCCCCACTCTCTTGCGTGCCCCCCATGAGTGCTACAGGACTCTGAGCCAAAGGAAAACACCATAACCCAGAGGCATTTGCTTCTAATATTTAGAAGTATAAGAGCACTGATATGATGAAACACTGTCGGTTTGTTGTTTGCTTTGTAAGTTACCACTGAAGAGAGGCTATTTATACTTGATTTATTCTATTTTTACGTTTGTGGTGACAGGAGGGCATTCCTGCTGGCAGCCTGCCTGCACGGGAACTGGTTATCCCAGTGCAAGGGCAGCCCCAAAGCAGGAATGTTGCTCTGTGGGTCTCTCCTGCTCCTGAAAGCAATCGGGTGGCATCGGCTCAAGGGCAGCGTGGGAGCCAAACGCTGTAAAACTTAAATTAACCTTCTTACCAGGACACGTTAAGCTCCTGTTGAGCCAACTGTGGACTTGTTTTTCCACCAAACGCCTTGACTTCAGCGTTTAGGAGAAGCAAGGAGCTGTGGCGAGAGCCAAGAGCATCAGCAGCAACATTCCTGGGGGGGTCGCGCTGGCAGAGGGCACCGCGCCCTGGCCACGGCTTCTGTCACTGTGTGAACTTTTGCATATTTATCTGGAGGAAAAGAAATCTTTTATTTTTGCTAATAAAGACCTCCTAGTGAATAAAGCCTCTGTTCTGTTCTTGCAAGTTGTTAACAGGGCTGTGAATCAGCACCAGCGCATAGATGCTGTGCCCAGTGCCACCGTGCTGGGGGAGAGCCCAGCAGGCACGGGTCCAGGGGGGGAGGACGACTGAGGGTGCGTTGCATGCACTAATGACCAGGGAAGTGAGAAGACCTTGAGGTCCTCACATTTAAATGCAAATTTCCGACACAGTTTGCTGGAACAAAATACCTGCCAGGGATTTCTTACAATAGAGAAACACCGGCCCCAGGGTACTCTATGGGTGACTCCAGCCTTTTCAGCCTCTAACTGCAACAAGTGTTCCAGCCATTGTCCTTTCCAGAGCAGCATTTACCGTTAAATAACAGGTTAGGTGCCTGAATGTTGTCGATAATCACCAGGGCTCTAGCGTCCCTGAGCCTCCTTTCCCCTGATTTGCAGGAGATAGCACTGCTGCCTCCATTTATCTACTGAGATGTTTTTAACTTCACATTTGTTCTCAGTCACACTGAAGCCTTGATCCCAAAGCAGACAGTAGGTACTAGCTAAAAACTAGACTAATATAAATTAACAACAGAAACTCTTGCTTTCCCTCAGGCTGGACATTATGTATCTATGCATACGGATCCATATGCATGGCAGCTGAATCCCGGACAAAACCAAGCAGGAATGCACATGGGAATTTACAGCTCTTTTACTAATAAACACAGAATTCAACCAGTGTAACCATTTCCAAACTCCAGCTCACACCAGCAACCCTCGGCAGCCGCTGGCAGGTACCTGGCCACGTTCCTGTTTCGCTTTAGAGCCTCTTTCATTTTCACTGCTTTTAGCCCTTTACTTGCAAGTCCAGCAGACTCCAGGTGTTTACTGACACCTGGGGTTTCTTTCTTCATTGCATTAGAAACAAAATTTTGATTTTGTTCAGTTAATACAACAATTTCTAAATCTGATTCTGCCCAGACTTCAGTCTAGTATTGGTCAGTGGAACTGCTGAATTTGTCCTGAGAGATTATTTGTCTTCCAGTAAAACCTGCGTTTAGGAGCACTGCTTGAAGCTTCACCCCAGACAGATCTGATCCACATGATCCCCTCATCCCTCTGCACCTATTTTCATGCCCTTTAAATAACCATTCTTCCATGGGGAAGCAGGAAAGAGCTCTCAGAGCCCATGTCACCAGCTTGAAGCAGGAGCCCAAGGAACCTCGTGAGCAAAACTGGTGCCTGGGCTCTGTGCTGCATGGAGAAAGGGGCAGCGTCAGCTCAGCTGTGGTGAGTTTTTCAGTAAAGCTCAGTCACTCTGGTTAAAACAACCACAGGAAGGAAGCAGGTGGAATGCCTCCTGCTGTACAGAGAATGAAGGTTTCCAGTTACCTGATGCTACAGGAGTGGTTTGATTCAGCAGAAAATGCAGGCAGAGCAAGTCAGCAATATGGATGGGATGGCTGCCTGCTCACAGGGGCATCAGCGAGGGAGAGGAGGTGGTACGATGAGGAGATGCAGCTCTGCTGCTCCAAAACTGGGCTGGGAAGCTGGAGGGACTGGGGAAAGGTGCTGCAGTGCTCCCAGCCAGGGGCACGGGTTTGCTCGAAGGGGAGAGAAACAAGAGCCAGGGGACATTTAGTGCTAGATCGCCATGCAAGCAACGTGCAAAGAAGTCTGTGCCACTTGTCACCAAGACATGGGGATGTTTGCATCATGACACGGATCTGGTGGGCAACAGCACGCAAACACACCTCTGACTAAACATATGTATCATCTCCAACAAGTTTTAGAAAGGATGTTCTGGAAAACCCAGAAGAAGCTGCCTAGGCAACCACAGGCAGCATCTATCATGGAGAAATGACATTTCCAGGAGAGGAACAATCACCATGATTCATTTCTGGCTGTGTCCTCAAGCCACCTTTTCATTGCTAGACCAGCCCTGTCCACATCAGTCCCTCCCTGCTAGGGCACCCTGCCTAAAAAAAAAAAAAAAAAAAAAAAAAAAAAAAAGGGAAAAAACCCCAAGAGGGCAGCTTGCAGAGCTGAGACTCCCAAGGCACCATTACATCACAGCACCAGCATCACCCAGCTCCCTGCTCACTGCACCTCGCCAGGCTGCTCCTTGACCCCTCTGGGTCCCAAAGTCAACTAACACGTGCCAAAAACATCAGCATCTGGGAGGGTAAAAAACAACAAAACCCAGTCTTTTACTATGGCAGTGTGATGCCATCGCAGCAGGAGCTCTGTGCATGACATGAAAGCTGATTGAAGCAGTGGCGGGTGCGAGGAGCTGAGCAGAGAGCCGGAGCGCTGGGCTCGGCTCAGCCCTGCCTCTGCCGTGCCAGCTCGCACCAGGGCTGAGTGAGCCGCAGGATGAGACCCCAGACACAGCATCCCCTCTGCAAAACAAAACAGGACGGTGCTCCCCCGCACACCTCTTCCATGGGCAACCTCCTGCTGCTTCTGCAACCCTGAAGGGTGCTGCCGTGGGGACGCTGCGTGCCCTGGTGCGGTGCGTTATCCCCCATCGCTTAGTGCTGATGTAGTTCCTGCCAATCTCAGTGTCAGTCTGGGTGTTACAGTAACAGCACGAGCCTGTCACATAGACCAGAGGTGGTGGTTTTCTGTTTGGTTTAGTTGTTGTTTGTTTGTTTGGTTTTTTTTTTTATCCCACAGCAGCAAATGGTTTCCTTGCTGGGTATCTTCCTCCTGAGAGCTCACCCCACTGCCTGCTCAGCAGTCCCGGTACCTGGGAGTCTGAGTCACCCCCGGACGCAGCCGGTCCTGCCTGCCCAAGGCTGAGCTGCTCCCCGGCCCAAACGCTGTGTCTCGACCAGGTGTTGCTGGTGCTGCAAGGATTTCCGTCTGGTGCGAGGAGCATGTGGTTAAGCCACTGTTTGGGTTAAAGAAAAATAAATAATAAAGTGTTTAAATATTAAATCCTAGAGGAAAAGGATTGGAGATTTGGTCTAAATACAGAGAAGGAGGAGGTTTATCAGACTTCCAGTTCCCAAGGGGTGGTTGCACTGCTCTTGAAGAGCAGAGCATCAGTGTCAGGCCAGAAACAAACCCACCCGGAACAGCATGGCCAATCCAGCCCACACTCCATAAAAATCCCATTTCTGCCTCCCAGCATGCCCCATCAGTCGGTGCCACTGGTGTCCCCGCCTTCAGCCAGTAACGCCAAGAGCCACCACCTGATTTTCACTTTTCTCTTTAGAAAGTCCAGTCAGTGCTCACTCTACAGAAGCTCCGTCTGTGGTTGAAGCTGCACGTTTCCGACAGTCCGATGCGAGGCACTGAGCCCTGAGTGGGCTCTGTGCCACAGGACCGGTGGCCGGGGACAACCCGCGGTGGCCAGCAAAGTCCAGGCTTGCCTAACCACGCCGCCACGCAGGCAGGGGCTTTCATGGTGAAACCGGCCGAGCCGCAGCGGATGAATCACTGCCAGCGAGCGCCGGAGCAGGCGCGTTGGCGATCGTCCCCTCTGCCAGCACCGTGCAGTGCAGCCAGTCACTCACTCTTTCCACTTTTTTCCTTTTTTTTTTCTTTCCATCAGAGAGAATCCCAGCTCGCAGGAAGATGCAACGCCCAGCCAGAGAGAAAAGAGTGTGGATGCTGGGCTTGCACAGGGAAAATATCGGCTGTTTCACAGGTGCTTTGATTTAATCGCTGCAACTTGCGCACAAGCACATGCGCATGTGGACAAAACTCCTGAGGACTCCAAAAATGCCCGAGCATCAGCTGCTCCCCGGTTCATGATCAAGTTTCGCTTCAAATAAGGAACATGCCAAGAGCGGCAACACGTGAGAGCATCCGCTGCCTGAAGGAGCTGTTTCTTCTGCTTTTTCTTTTTTCTCTTTAGAAACTTTCCTGAAAGCCATAAGCACCCTGGTGCTGAACAGTATGTACTTGCTGTCAAGAGAGCAATTAAACTTCTTAGTCATCTCCTGTTGGCCAACGCAGAGAGGGCAGATGAGCTGATCCCAGCTGAACTGGTGGAAGTGATTCCTGAACACAGCCGGGCAGACACAGCTGTCTCCTCCTGGGGGCTGGGCATGAAGAACAAAACCCCACTGGCTTCTTCCTTGTAACAGGAAAAAAATGTGCCTCTTGACATGAGGAAGACAAGAACCTTCTCTGCGACCCTTCAGCCTCTCGGCATGCCATGAGGACCAGGGACCTGGCTTTTAGTGATGTGAGGGACCTTTAAGTACTAAAAGGGCAAAATCAAAACCA